ACGTAATTCCATCCCCACAGCAAGAACTCAAGTTTCCTTGCAATCAATCGGTCCTTAAAAGCACGCAACCCATGCTGTGGAAGCCGGAGTGGCATCATCCGCAGCCTGTTCAACTTCGACATCGCGTTCTTGAAATTAGTTTGCGCAACTCTCTCTCTGCTCTGCTCGAGCCTCTTGCTCGCGCTTTTGCCTCCTCTGCAAACTCTAATTTCTCTCAATTCCAACTACCGCGCACTCAATTCTCTCTCAGCCACCAAGTAATTCTCCGCGCGGCGATGTCTAGAGTGTCTATCAGCCTGAAAGTGGACGCGCGCAGCTCGCACCAGAAAGTGAAATCGCGAATTCAAGAATGGGGCGTCCTCCGTCTCCTCGTTGAAGCTCATGGTCGGCTCTCGGTCGTGAAGGTCGGATCACTTGATGGCCGCGCCGGCTCCGCGCTATAACGGCCTTCTCTCTCACGCGCGGCTTCACGCTCCGCCGACGCCGACTTAACTCACACGCTCGAATTGGCAATTTGAACTCCGCTAGCGTACTACGCCGCGGACATGGGTGCGCAGTGCCGAAGGCGGATTTCTCGCCGGCGCACTACACTCCTTCGTACTTAACTTTGGCTAGTCCCGCTCCGCCGAAGGCATTCGTCCGCGCATAGGACAAAAATCGAACTCCCTTCTGCGTAGGCGGAATCCCCGGCGGAATCTCCGCCGGCGTAGAACTTCATATGCCTGTGCGTAGGTGCTCGCCTACGCGTAGACGAATTCCGTCCGCGCACCGGACGTTCGTCCGCGCAGGTCCCTCGCCGTAGGCGCAGCGCCGTAGGCGACTGTGCCGGAGGCGTTGACCGCGGTCAACAGACTCCGTCCAGTCTGTCCATTTCTCTCGCCTCTCCGTCGGCGCTCTTGTCCCCGTAATCCCGACCGGCCGAAGGCTTACTCATCCGTTCCGTCCGTATGGTCTGTACGGATTTACTACTCCGTCGGGTCCTCGCCCGTCCGTGATGCGTTGGCGCCGAAGGCGCCGTACAATTTCCAACCCGAAGGCGCATTTCTAGGGCCGAAGGCGGACTTCCCGCCGACGCCGAAGCCGAAGCGCTTATGCGTAGGCGACATTCGCGTCGGACATCCCGCCGACGTCAAACCCTATTTTGCCTATGCGTAGGCGAACTTCCCTCGTCCGCGCATAGGACAAACTTTTCTCGCCTACGCGTAGGCGAAGATCTTCGTATCTTTTGACCTTCACAACTCCCGAAGTCCTCATCCGTTCCAAGCGTTCTTGGGCTCGTTAGAATCCGCGCGTCAAGCTCTTTCCAACGAAACCCTAACCAAGTCGAGGCGTTTGGGAATTGATCAGGTTTTGAAGGATTTCTCTAGCGCCAAAGGCGCAACGCCGAAGGCGGATTACGCGCCTTGCGCCGAAGGGGTACTCCTTCAGAGCCCGTTTTTTAGGGCGGCGCTTGTCCCAGATGTTGCGCCCAACTCCTGGATTCTACGAGATCTTTCGAGATTCTCCGAGATCATCCAGTTTCATTCTATTTTGATGCACCGATGGCTATTTACACTACTGCCGCGGTACAGTTTTCCAAAAATGTTTTTAATTCCTCAAAAATACCAAAAGTGGGGTACCACAAAGCCACACTCACGACAGTGACAGGCGAATTCAGTGGCGACCGAAATCCTCAATTCGGAGGATGATGAAGAAGGAGGATCGACGGAATCGGCGTAAGGAGCAGAATCGAGTGAGGAGGAGGAGCAGTTAGTGGCAGGCACGCCGACGGCGGCGCTCTGCGAGCAGGTGGTACCTCTGTTGAGGTACCTTGATCGCAAAGTGGAGAAGTACGCGGACCCCCGCCAGCCTGGGTCCTACGTCGAATTAGTGCGTAGGCAAACCCGCACTAAAGTCCACACCAGCAAGTTGTTGGCCCGTGTGGATCGGGAACTTAAGGATGTGCGGGAGAAGTATGATTGCCTGTGGGGCCACCTCAATCTCACTAAGAAGGTGTACAAAGCCCTCGACAAGACGAAGGACGAGAAGTTGGGAGAGTTCTCCAAAGCGAAGGCGAAGCTCGCAGAGGAGCTGGATTCTGAGCAGGCTTAGAATCAAATTTTGTCAGAGGAGCTCGTGCGACAGACACGGTTTTCCGGAGGAATACCGTGAGGAATTTAAAACATTTTTGGAAAACTGTACGTGGCAGCAGTGTAAATAGCCATTGGTGCATCAAAATAGAGTGAAACTGGAGGATCTCGGAGAATCTCAAAAGATCTCGTAGAATCCAGGAGTTGGGCGCAACGTCTGGGACAGGCACCGCCCTAGAAACGGGCTCTGAAGGAGTAACCCCTTCGGCGCAAGGCGCGAAATCCGCCTTCGGCGCTTCGCCTTTGACGCTAGAGGAATCCTTCAGAACCTGGTCAATTCTCGAAAGCCTTGACTTGGTTAGGGTCTCGTTGGAAAGAGCTGGACGCGCTGATTCTAACGAGCTCAAGAACGCCACGAACGGATGAGGACTCCTGGAGTTATGAAGGTTGCAAGACACTCAGATTCTCGCCTACTCGTAGGCGAGGAAAGTTTGTCCTGTGCGCGGACGAGAGAAGTCCGCCTACGCGTAGGCGAAATAGGGTTTGAAGTCGGCGGGATGTCCGCCGCGAATGTCGCCTACTCGTAGGCGGGGAGGACTAACACCTATGCCAGGCGGACGCAAAAGTTCGCCTATGCACAGGCGCTTCGGCGTCGGTGGAAAATCCGCCTTTGGCCCTAGAAATGCGCCTTCGGGGTTGGAAATTGTATGGCGATTTCGGCGCCAGCGCAACAGCGCGGACACGGCGACGATCGCCACGGAAAGGGGAAGTGCGTCCACGGAGAAGGGCGGGAGTGCGCGGACGTCCGCATGAGCGGTGGACCACGCTACGCCTCCGGCGGACGAGAGAGGGCCTTCGAGCCAGGGGACTCCGAGACAAGGCCCTCCGGAGTTACCACGTGCGATGCGGACGAGTGTTCCGCCTATGCACATGCGACTCGATGCGGATAGGCGACCTCTTGCAGACGTGGACCTGTGCCTACGCGTAGGCAGAGATAGTCCGCCTACGCACAGGCGGCCGCCTACGAGTAGGCAGGATTCACCCCCGGTACAACGTAGGAAGGGGAAGAAGCCGGCGGAAGATCCGCCTTCGGGTCAAGGGCCTTCGGGTCAAGGCCCTCCGGCGTACAACGCGCCGCGATTTGCGCCTTTGGCGCCAGGGCCTTCGGGTCAACGAGTTACGAGCAGTCAGCGTGCGGAGGTCACACCTTCGGCAGGGAATCCGCCGGAAGTTGCGCCTTCGGCGGGAGGGCCTTCGGCCAGGGTACATCGGGCGGGCGGCCTTTGGCTCTATCGCCTTTGGCGGTAGACGCCTTCGGCGCTGCGCTTGCGGCGTATAAGGCGCCGGGAACCACGCCTACGCGTAGGCCAGACGCATCCCTCGCGCAGGATTGATCGAGGGAGTAGGACCTAATGGAGGAGCGGACTGTCTGTCCGCGGGACGAAATTCGAGTGCGCGATGCACAATTGCACCCCGCGCAGACACATTCCGCTCGATCACCTTCAGCGGCGGACGCCGCCGGCGAAGAAGCGACGATCGACCCACGACAGGCGGATGATGGGAATGTGGCACGGCCACATTCGCCCACCGCCTTGGACATTTTAGCGGGGAGCAGCGAAGCTGCAGGAGCGCCATCGGCGGCACTATCCGCAGACCACTCGCAGCCCCACTCAGGCCTATCGCCAACGCAATCAATGGCGACCGAAATGCTTCCTTCGGATGATGACAAAGAAGGATCCACGGAAGCAGTGTCGGGATCGGGAGACACCGAGGAGGAGGAGGAAGAAATCGTTGGAGCGCCGGCGCCGGCGCTCTGTGAGCAGGTAGTACCTCTGCTGAGGTACTTGGACCGCAAAATTGATAAATACGCGGATCCTCGCCAGCCTGGATCTTACGTCGAGTTAGTGCATAGACGAACTCGCACTAAAGTCCACACCAGCAAGCTGCTAGCTCAGGTGGACCGAGAACTTAAAGAGCTGCGGGAGCAGTATGACTGCTTGTGGGGACAGTACAATCTCGTGCGGAAGTCGCACACCCACTGCGACAAGTTGAAGAAGGAGAGATTGGAGGAGCTCAGCAAGGATCTGGTGCAGACCACAGAAGAACTGATTTCTGAGAAGACTCAGAATCAGGTTCTGTCAGAGGAGCTCGTGCGACAGACGCGGTTGTTGGCGGAGTGTCAGCTCGCACGACAGGCGGATGAGGATTTAATCCGCAGGCTGCAGTCGGAGTGCGCAGAATTGAGAGCTCAGCGTGCGGAGGCCGAATCGCAATTGGTGGTAATTGAAGACGATCGCAGGCGAGAGGTAGATTGCACGAAGGAGGAGATGGCAAGGCGAGTCGCCCACTGTCTCAAGGGCTACGCCCACTGGGAAGTGGCGGCACAGGAGAAACTCACGCTGCGTGAGTTAGAGCTTCGTGTTGCTGGGTTGTTGGCGGGTGACAGTCGGAGTCGGCGGCGGGTAGCGAAGAAGTTAGACTCTTTTCTATCGAAGGCGCGGGATACCATGTCCACCCTTGAGACGGAGGTGTCCGCGGCGTTGCGCGTTTGGGACTGCGCAGTCGAGCGGAAGACTGGCAGGGTAGGGTGTTGGTGCGCGGCAGTCCGTTGCGCAGGAGGCGAAGCACAGGTTCCGGACATGATATGATATGACATGATACGGAGCGAGTGGAATGAAGTAAGTGACCCAGGATGGAATGATTAGGGTTTAGGGTGCAGTCAAGAAAAGTGTTGTCTGAAATTTATTGTGGGCTGGATGAAACTTAATGAAGGTTGCAACATTGAGATTCCCATCATCATAAGACTTTTTTTATATTTCTTCATCCTCTTGATTGAGAATCTTTCCAGCACGACATAACCTAAAATATACACCATTTCGCGACCATCCGTACCAACTGTCTGAAAGAATCGTTTATTGCAGTACGGTGAGGAGAAGTATAACAAAGACCATGAGTTCGGCATACAAAGGAGCTCAACAAAGATGTGTTTATCTTGCGCTATGGACCATAGGAACTGTGAGAAAAGGCCATTGTCTCTGTAGTTGATTCACTGGTTAGCTTCAACTCGTGGAGACATTGACTATGATCTTGTCAACGGCGATCATACTTACAATATGTTTCCTGGTTATTTGATTAAAAGGAAATCCATAAAGCTTATCCTGGACACTAACGTGCCATGTACTAGAATCAGCAAGTAATATATCCATCTGAAACCTCAAATAAAATCTCCATTCGAATATCCCCTTTGAGAAACAGTCTTGGCAAGTTAGTGACCATTTCTGCATACACTTACGTTTTTGCCACAGCTTAGCCGGATTTCGACAAATCTGTCGAAATCCGATGAAATATAAGCCTGTAAGTGAGTTATGAACGCATCTGTTAATGAGGCTGTACTACTGACTACTAACTTGAAGACTAGAACCTTCACTAGACTTAGACCCATGGTTTCACAATGACATAACCAATGGGAACCTTATAATAAAAAAGACCCCTTTCGTCCAGTAACCATTTTGAGTTCGCTTCTTGGTCGTGGTGAGGAGTCTCCTGGTAAAGTTTATAAAGCAATACTTTGTCTGTCCACCCGAAGGAGCAGGTGAGTTCATTGGGGGAAGTTTTCGTATCAAACTCTATAATATGCCAAATATTGTCCTGTTGAGGTGATAGCCAGACAATTGGAAACCGTCTGACAACGACTCCATTCCTCAAACCCTCACAGTAGACACTACAATCATCGACTTGCATATGGCTCACTATATAAGCTGAAATCAGCTTACCATATCCGCTCGGAAGACTGCTTTGCTCGAGGCTGTGAAAATTGTCTCCATCTTCGGCAGGAAGTAGAGGCTTCTCACCAACATCATCATGAGTCTCATTTTGCAACAGGGATACTGCAGAAACATTATATTTTTGTTGCTCAGCATCTGCATCTCTTTCACAAGTACTGAAACTCAGACCGTGAGCAGGAAGGTCAGTCAAAATCGCTCCCAATAGAACGAAGATACATGATAGCATCCTCATAATCATCTCTGGTAATGAACAGTGTGTAACTAGTTGAAGGAGAAAATGAAGAACACAGAAGACCTGAGAATTACAGAGAATGGCTTCTCAATGAAGTGGAAAGCATGAAGGTAAACTCTGAGTTCCAGTAACTCTGAATGCTTTGGTTTTATAGTAATTGACTATTTGTACATGATATGAATGCTCCAAAAATTTGCGTTTTGAGTTTCATCACAACCTACCTCTTCAAAAGTGAACCGTAGCAGAATTGAGGTCTCTTTCCATGACTGGGTTCCAGAAATGAAGTTTGAGTTGCATCACAACTCTACTTCTTCGAATATCTAAACGAGAGAATATATAATAGTTTCTTTCATGCCTGAGTTCCATTTTATGAAGTTTGAGTTTCACCACAACTCTACCTCTTCAAAAATTGAACCGTAGTAGATTGATTTGAGGGCTCTTTCCATGACTAGGTTCCAACAAGTGAAGTTTTAGTTTCATCACAACTGTACTTCCTCGGATATTTAAACGAGAGTATATATAAGAGTTTCTTTCATGCCTGAGTTCCATTAAATGAAGTTTGAGTTTCACTACAACTCTACCTCTTCAAAAATTGAACCGTAGTAGATTGATTTGAGGGCTCTTTCCATGACTAGGTTCCAACAAGTGAAGTTTTAGTTTCATCACAACTCTATCTCTTCAAAAGTGAACCGTAGTAGATTTGAGGGCTCTTTCCATGACTGGGTTCCAACAAATGAAGTTCGACTCTTTAGCTATTTCAACTAATAGTCATTTTGATACAAGACATAGCTGCTATCATCCTATATGATTTCTATGTTTTAATAATCACTTCTCATTCTTTTCTATGTTTTTATTGTATATCAAACTCCTTAAATTGGAGCTCACTCGTGGATTTATCCATCTGTCCTTGATTTCAACTTTCATGCCAAAAGCGCACGATTGATTTCAAGAGGTCAATTGGCGTGTGAGAGTTGATATCAATCTTCTACCGTCTTTGGAATGTTGTCTTAGGCCGTTGTCATACATCGATACTAACCCATTGAAAAAAAGGTTGGGCAAAGGAGACATGATCTGGCCAAGAAACTCCAATTTCCATGAACTCATTTGGTTTCATCTTCTACTGTTTGTAGGTATGTCTCTCTGGTACATATTTTGACATGATGGTTGTTGTTTTACAGTAGGAGAAGCTCGAACCTGGCATGTAAATGGTCCCAATTCAATAGATTCGCTGATAGTCAATGTTTCGAGTTGAACGAGCCTCTTCGAATTTCGTGTGAATAAGTTCACATCTAAAGTACTGTAACTTGGATTTGGACTCAAAAACATGAGTATTCGACATCTTGATCACTTCAATCCTCAATGTTCGGTTATTCGGACACCATCAAAATCGGGGTTTATAATTTGGATGGTGTACGAACTTTGATCTTCAAACTTTGACTGAGAGATTAAGCTTAATCTCTCAGTAATCCCAATTGAGAAGCTTAATCTCTCAGTCGTTGGGACTGGATTACTTCACAATCCCTCCGAGTGCTTGGAAGGAAACATGGTGAGTAAATATTGGAAAGCATTCACACTTTGTGGGCAAGAATGATTCAGAAGCCTCTTCAATCTATCGAGTTCTAGCGTATTCGTTCTTCAATTACGTCGTCATGGTGTACCATTCTTGACCAGGCTGAACAAATGCATACAGGGAATGCATAAAGGGAGAAGGTAAAAATTTCTGCTCGCTCATTCCGCTCAACTTTGGCCATCTTCACAAGTTTATTCCTAGAATTCGGCCACAGCATATCCAAGTTTTAACAACAGTCGAACGTTTTCTCTTGCAGGATTCCATTGTTGTCGATTCGACTTGACAGTAACCACGATACTCCATTTTGGGTTGTAAGGGCATTTAGACGCATGACATATTGAAATATTTCTAAATTTTGTGCCTGTGCAACTGGAGGGCATGTCCTTATTTTCCTGAATTGAAATTTCATGTCAATCTCCATAAAAGTACGTTTGCAGCACAGGTTTGTGGACAAGTTAAATGAGCCAAGTAACAATGCTCGCAGCCATTCTCATCAAAGTCATGAAATCCCGTCAGTTTTTACTGTTAATTTGCATGAAAATTACCAGTACAGGATATAATGGATTTAAGCTTAAGAGCTGTAATGACAGACAAATTCCAGTTGACTGAAAACTTCATAAAAAAAGGAAAAGACCTGAATGCGACCTGTGCTACAAACGTAGTTTTTATCAACTACAGATTTTCCGCAGCTATTCACCGAAATCGATAGGCACGTCACAGTATCTACCAAACTAGAGACTTTCTGCCTCTCTTACTCAAAACCCAGTGGCGAGTAGCAAGGTTTTGTGTTGTAGAGTGGTTCATGATATCCAGAATTAAATTCAATGAAGAACTTTTCCCCACGCTAATGTGAAAGAAAGGTATTCAAATTACGTGGGTAAAGCACCAACCTCGAATTTTAGACTTGCTGTTGGATAAGTTTAATATGCTCTCTGACAGTACAGTCACAGGTAAAAGTAATATCAAGTACAACGTGTTCTCCTTGCCTCGAACCTCCCAAAACAATGCTGGGGGAATGAAGAAAAAGGAATGCTGGGGGGATGAATATTACGAAATTTTGACAATAATCCGTCTCAGGTAAAATTCTAAGCTCAGCTGTTGTACCCTACCCTCATGCTTAAACGCACGTACCGATGCTCCCGCGGTAATGAAATTTGAGTTCACTCACAAGGAGGCGAAAAAGATAATTACAGCCGAAAGATTTTAGTTAGGGTTTTGCGAGGCACGTGAGGAGGCGAACTATAAGAATGGCGGGGTAGCAAAGAGAGCACATAATAAGGCTCGAGTTGTAGAAGAACTTCTGGGGAGCTGAGGATCGATTTGGGCTTGGAGTATGTGTATCTACACACCCTTTTGAGTGCTGACGCCCACTCTAAAATACGGGTGCAAGGACGTGACATGAGGGAGAGATGCGGTAGTGAAGAGTTGTAGCTGTTTTGTTGTTTTTTGCTCGTCAAGAGTGTGGCAGAAGTGAAGCAGACGGAGAGCTGTGTTAAGGATGGCTACGCATGCAATCAGCACAGAACGCGATCATACAGCGACATGTGGGTTAAAACTCGAGGAGGTGATGTTAATGAGAGGGAATCAGGATTCATTTCGAGAAGCTTTTGCCACTGGTCTAACGTGAAATGTCTTCAGAAGTCAAAGCTCGGTCAGGTCTTTTAATCCCTCAGCGAGAGTTAACTATTGCCATACCAATCACTGATGATATCTTCATTCGCTGTGCATGGCCTCTTAGTTCTACTGTGACCCCTTTTGCCATCGTTATATATTAAGAGGCCGTCACACCTCACAAGAACCAACAGTGTGAGTTGAAATCAACACCCTCATGTGTCTCCTATTTTTTTCAATCGAACTTTACCACAAGTGAATTAGATCAATGCAAATATCAGATAAACCAGCAACTAGCACCAGGATGTGGGACTTACCAGAGGTATAGTTACTCACTTACATCCTAGTCAGTAAGAGGATTCCGTCGTGAAATTATAGTGTCTTTTGCAACTGAAAGGAGCAAATGATGAATGAAATGGAAGGTGTCCCTGATGTCTTCAGATAAAATGATCACAAACTCAATTCTGATGCCCCTTTCAACTCTAGAAAATCCCCAGTGATTTCCCTGTTTCAATATCTTCTGTTGAGTGGGAAGAGTCAAACTTATAGAATATGAAGAGAGATAACCGCTACCGATCTATGCATGTTTTTGCTTAGTCTAGTATGTAAATACGAAAGGTATGTACCGTATTTCTTGATTTCTTGCTTCTTGACCTCGAATGGAAGAGAAAAAAAAACACTGACCATCTACCGGTTCTGTTGTTTGTAATATCTATCGATAGTTATCAAAGTTAGAATATTTTAATGTCTGGCTTTGTGTTGGGATGTCCTCCTTTCTTCCCTGCAAATTTTCATTCTTTGCTTTCTTGTTTACATATATTATATTTTTAACTCGGAAATTGACTTTTATTTTCACTTCGATCACTAAGGATAAAAGTTTTAAAAATCGAGCTCCCTTTCTTACATTCTTGCTAAGCACGTCTGGGCAATGAAAAACCTGGGATCGTTGTTTCAGGCCGAAGTTCGAAGTTCTACCAGAATTTATTTCATACAGGAATATATCTATGGCTGTCGCACCAGAACCAGTAACCAAACACCTTGGGACCATGTGGTTGTTTTGTCATACATCTGAGTTCATTTGTCCGATAGTTTGTGGACAAGGTTATGTCCAAATGATCAGTATAATCAGCAACAATAGTAACCTACACATGCCGCCCAAGCTGAAGCCGCCCATGCTCATGTGCGAGAGCTCCCGCAGAGCTCAGCAGAGTGCCGCTCCCAGGAGCCATTTTCGTGAACCAGCTGCTTCCGCTGATAAGCTCGTGGCGCATGAGCAGAACCGGGTCTCGATCGACGACCGCTGCGTTCGGGGTTCGAGTCCAAGGTTGCTCTCTGCCATCACTTCGACTACAACTGGTCAAGAAATCTCCGGAACATCACGATTCACAGCGTCATAGAAGACAAGCATGTGCACCTCTTCTGATCAGTAGCTGACGGATGGAATGGCCGAGAGAATATATAATCGGTATAAACATCCTCTGTCTGAAAATGAAGATTATGATTTGGTATTTTATATACTCGGCAAGGACAACATGAGTGCCGCTTGAAGCATGGTCATGAATTATACAACCAGAAGACTTGGAAATTCCCTTAGATAGTCACATCCTGACATAAGCCATACATTCAGCTTGCTGCAACAGCCTGTAAATGGAACTATGATTTACCTTTGTCTTATGTGATTTTAGTACAATTCTTCAGATTTTATATCTTACGCTATAGAGGTTGCACTTTTTAATGACGAAAAAGAGACTTAAAAACTATGTATTTATTCAGACCACTTGTTTTGAAGACTGTCAGTCCAAATTTGACTGAGGCTGGCTCTTGGAATCATGCAGCACCTTGTTCCTCGGAGGCTCTTTTTGGTGGAGGTACTTGCCGTTTCTCTTTATGCCCTTTAAAATAACGAGTAATTCTCTTATTCATTTAT